TTTATATAGTTACAATTAAATATATCTTTTCATTTGATTAATTTATTTCAAATTAACATTTGCATAAAACATTTTCAAAGTTTTATCATTTTTTTTGGGGGGGGGGGGTAAAAATATAAAAAATTTAGTAGTCATTTTAGTATATAAAATATAGTATTAATTTGTAAGATATATTGTATATACTTTATTATATTTATTTATAAATATTTTTCAGTTTCATCCAAGTATTATACGTTTTAGTAAAAGAAAAGAAAAGTATAATAATTAAAAATAATTGTTTATTTTATGGGCATATGGGACCAAGTTCAAATGAATCAATAAGTTAAATAAGTTATTACAGGCGGTTTTAACCAAATAGTACACATTTTCAGAAAAATATTTTAAAAAAAAGTTTTAAATAAATGTATATTTATATATATAAATGTATATTTAATATTTTTGTACTGAAAACTAATTAAAAATAAAGTTTGCAGTCATTCAAGTATTTAAATAATTTACAAACATATTTTATTTTATTTCATAAGTTTATTCTGGCCTTGACCAGTTCTTCTAAACAGTTCTCACTTTACAACATCATACTGGATTTTTGTGTGCTGTGCCATTCTTTTGTGTATATTTTTCACATTTTTATCTGTTGTCTGTTATCTCTTCCATCGCTATTCATCTTGTTCGAAAATATCTTGTCTTTAGTACAAGGAGATACAGCAAGCTTTTGAATTTAGTGTCTTTGTGACTTAAGAGAACATTGTAATAATCTGTGATGTAAATCGCTGGCACCTCAGACTTGAGGGTAATGAATTCTTGCTTATGTTCACTGCAGAGGGACCCTTGGGAGCCCACGGGGAGCGACGGGGTGGAGGGTTTGTGTGGAGATGCTCTGGCTCCCATGCCCCTGTCTACACCCAGTTCTCTGGTCAACCCCGAGACCGTCAGCCCGACCCAGTTCCGCTCATCATCCCGGGGCTCTAGCATGACGTCTTCACAGTCGTACTCTCTCCATTCACTGGATGAAGTCAATTATCACTCCTCGTTTCAAACCACCTCTGGCAGCTTTGCTTCCCTTTCATTCATGACTGAGCCTGCATCCAAACTAGTGCCAGTACTACCCTCAGAAGATACTGAAAATGCCCCTTCAGCCTTGAGCGACAGCCTGGCTTGGGGCAAGGAGGACACTGCTAGCACTTGGTCACATTATGAGGTCAGGAGGGCATTCTGAGATTGAACTGGAAGGAAATAAAGGCTTTCCAGCCTTGCAGATCAACACCTCTTCAATACACAACAATTAGCACTCAAATCTTTTTGCCAGTTTTACTTAGCTTAACATTGGGGAACAAATTATATAAATCTTTGATTTAATGATTTATTTGTATCATTTATTATAATTGTATCTTCTTTTTTTGTCATCACAACTTATATTGTGTCAGCTGGATAATTAGGATAATAATCAGTATAAGGTGTCTGTTTATTCAAATTTTTATTACTGTGACACATAAGTGACTGTGAGTCTATATAAATGTTATTATCTGCAAACGTTAAGTGTTACAATATTTATAGTCGCTGTGTAATATCTAGCTAGTCCTATTTCTCTTCTTGTGACTCTTCAAAGACCTGTTGTGAAAATGGTCTAAAAGGTAAATAAACTAGAATTACAAAAAAAAAGCATTCTCGTAACTCTACAAGCACGATGGAATTCAAAGAATTATAAAAAAAGTTATAAACAACAGAAAAAAACATTATATTTAATGAAATCTCATTTTATTGAACGATTAAATATACAAACATTTTCAGGACAACAAAAACATTAAAACAAGTTTTTCATTAATATATTAATATTTTTTCAAATACAATTTAGAGGATTAGGAAAAATACATAACAACAGATTTCTTTTTTTATTCTTTTTTTTAATTCATTTTTTTAGATAAAGAGATGTAAGTCAGTTCAATTCTAAAGTAAAAGTCTTTCAGGAACTTTTTATGTACATACAATATATACCATATAAAACTAATAAATTGACCTAAAATTGATTGATCTATCAGATGCTGTCCTATAATAACAAATATTTTTTTAAGCTTAAAAGAAAAAAAAATTTCAGAAGGATTGCTGAAATAATAGCACAAATCAGACCCAAATTCACAATATTCACAATTAAATAATAATAATAATAACAATCAGAATCAGAATGAGCTTTATTGCCAGGTATGTTTTCACATACGAGGAATTTGTTTTCATGACAGAAGCTTCCGCCGTGCAACAGAATGACAGCAACAGAACAAAAACACAGATAATAAAAGAAGAATAAATAATAAAAAAAGAACAAGTAAATAAGGAATAACAATATATAAATTGACAGTTGTATGTGCAGGTATATTACAATAGACAGTTTTGTATGTACAAGTATATTATGTGCAAATTAATAATAAACAATAAAACTGCTATCAAGTTGAAAGCTTACAGGCAATAATTTAAAGCAGATTTCTTTGAATTAGAGTAGGCTACTGATTCAATAGTCATATGCAATAGCAATATATATTATTATTTATTATTATTATTTTAACCAGTAGAATTTACCTCTGCGTGTGAAAAGTTTGGAGAAATTGCTGAAAGTGCATTACATTTATTGCCAAATAAACGAATTATGCTTTATATTCATATAAACGGAGTCCGATGAAATAGTTACACGCAATCCTCTTGCGACATGGCCTGCAGTTCTCCCGTTTCATCAGTAGGGGGCGACATTCAACTATCTCGTAGTAAGCGACCTCCACAACCCGGTTGAAATCTTTCTTAAGAGATTTTTTTAGGATTATGGAAAATCTGTTCATTAATTTGACTGATAATAAAGGGCTGGTAAGAAAACAATATTTTGAAACTGGAGGCCTATCTGCAGCGGATTAACTTTACAAAACAATTTCACAAAGGCATATTCTTCCACATAGTCTGCCGAGACAGAGTTTAAATGAAGACTTACCAAGGTGTTTGAAGATGTATTTATAAAGTACCCCATCTTTTTTTCAATACTTAAATCTCTAATTATTCTGCCGTTTCGAACGAAATGTTCGATTTGTCTGTACTACATGTCACATGGAGCCATTTTCGGGCTTCTCTTCTAAGACAAAGAACATCGGCATGTAGGTTAATCATTCTACATGCGTTCAGTCTTAAATACTCGACAGTTAAATCTGACACGCGTAAATAAACAACGGCATTATGATTTCAGAGGTCTCGAAATGTAAATGTGCCACTTGAAACTTTTCATTTAAATGAGGCTATTTCAGAAATAAAAGTGTGTGGGTGTGAGATTCTGTTTGAGATCAGCACCACACAGCATCAAACAACACCCTACTTATATATTTTTTAAGCATTTAAATGATGATAATATGCAATGATCAATTAAACTGATGCATTAAAACAAAAATACCCTGAGAAAAGAAATTAATAAATATTATTGTGAACACTGATGGTTTAAGTCTCAGTTAACTTGACTTTTGATTTTTAAGAAATGCCGAGGACCCTTTCAATTAAATATATAATTATAATTGAATTTATTTCATATTCAGCTTTGTTATACCTGCCTCCACTGTCCTAATACCTTGACTTTAGCAGACGTCCCAATTGTTCTGATGACAAACATGGCTGCTTTCATATGCCACGCCCACCACTCCAAAAATTCTTAAAATACTGCCTAAATTTGTTCCACAAGACGCAATATTTAATTTTTGTGATAAGACTACCTATTACAGAAGATATTTACAATGTGTCATGGCATGTAAAACTTAATTTGAGCCTTCAGTCTCCCTGCAAAGTTGAAATAGTGCTTTTAAGTGAGACTCCAACCATCAACACCAAAAGGATGATAAGATGTTAAAAATATATATTTGGTTGATGTCAAAATGTGAAATAACACAACATTCTATTAAAAGAGATGTTGTTATATGCACTGTAATAGCGAATATCACTCAGAAATAAGTCTTTTTATGAAGCCTTTGAATATTCAAATTGAAAGTATAGCGCAATCAAATCATTGTCAAATCATTGAGTTCTTGGGCTTTTAAATAGTAGGGATGAGGGGAGAAAAACTCAAACTAAAATATCCCTAGCTATATTACTGTGTAATTGTATATGTCCTGAGAGTGTTTTGAGGTTACTTTATTGAGACTTTTGAAGACTTTTGTGAATAATTCGTTCTTGCCCATATAATAGAGCAAAGAACTGACGTTGGGGTGTTTTACTGTAGCTCTGCCAGAGATTTCCTCCTTTTCAGACCAATATGTCTGGTAAGTAAAAATTCATTTTTCTTTCATATAAGATGTTTTCTTCTTCAGCAACCTGAAAAACATTGAGAGAAAAAAAGATATTATTTAAAATCATTAAATACATTGGTAAACGTTTCTTGGAAATGTATAGGTCAAAACTTCAGTCTTATACTAATATTTTAAAACAGCAAACACATAAGAAGGATTACATTTAAACAAATTTGTGCATTTTTATATAATCAATTAATTGAATAAATGTGCTTTCTGAAATTGATTTCTTGCAGTTTAATGGGAATATTAATATTTCTGGTGATTAATTCAAGCTCACGTTTTATTTATAGCTTGAATTATCTGTCTGCCTTGTATTTTTTGCTCAACTTTTCTTCAAGCAAAACTGAACATGGATTTATCTGAAGATTTATTTTCTGTGTTATTTTAAACTTTACGATGTCGACCATCGTGTCAACTGAATGCAATGATTTCCTGAATAACTAACAGTAAACGATGACTGAATATAATTTCGACATTTTAACCAGAATCCAAACTTTTCTTCAGAGCGCATACGAATAGACTACATATTAAAATAGGTTTAGCTGTCAATGAGCCCATTAAAACACAGCCGAGGGACGTTTTTGCTGTCTTCTCAAGCTCAGCGCACTTTTTGCCCTCTGTAAACTCAACTGCCTCCATGAACTCAGCCATGGCGTGGCGTTGTTTTGAGTTACTTATGTTCAGACAGAATTTTTATGTATACTAGCTATATTAACAGGGATCAGGAAGACGTCCCACTGTGCATGTCTTCACGGGACCGAACAACCAATTAAAAAATTAGGAAAGAAGGACAACTATTTTCCATCTATTTTTGCACATTTCATTTTGGGGGAAGCTTTTAGGCGCGGCTTCACTCATATAGGAAGAGATAAGAGGACTGCCCATTAACTATATCAAGAAATAACTTCACATTTACCAAGCTGATCGCAAAAACTAACTTGGACCCCGGACGTTTTTAGGGAATTTAAAACAACTGTTGCTTATCGACAGCGGCAAATCTAAACGGGTTTTCTGTTGGACTCCGGCTTGAGTTTACCATCTATTTTTCAATGTACATTCTCTGTTCTCTTGTATGCGGCTTTTGCTGTAAGAAGAGTGTTTACTTACGGTTGTAATTCGTAGAGGCGTCTACCGAGGAAGCTTCTCTTTCTCCTCGTCTCGCAAGCAGAGTTTTACAGTATTTTTACTTCGCTCCCGCGAACCCAACTTTGTGCGCCTTGTGCTCTCGAGTGAAACTGTCAATAATTAGATTAGGGTAGGCTTAGCTTACTCGCCAGTTTAGTCGGGTTTTTACAGCTATAAGAAACTTTAGACTGCTCGAACTCCAAATTAAAACCGTCGTCCCGAGTCAAAGATGGCTGGAGAGCATGTTTCTCGAAATGCTCTACAGTTTATTGTAATGCGAAACTAACCAATTCACTGCCGGATCACTAGTGCGCTCAGACAAATGGAGTCTTAACTGGGAAGACGAGCATAGTTTTTCTAATCTTGTGGGATATCTTATATTTATTGGCGTTTTCCAATGGCATATGGAAAAAAGCGAACGCTATCTGTGTATGGTGAAAGAGGGGCAGTGACAAATAAGGACGTCGAAGATTATAAATAGGAGAAATATTCTAAAGATCTACTAAATAGATGTGCCAATAAGGTCTTGATGTAATCTCTGTATTAGTGTTGCTTCATTCATTTTCATTCATTAAAAACATTGTTTAGAAATATTTTCGTTTAATGACTCTAAAATGTCAAGTGGTGTAACCATTAAGTAAAAAGTGGCAAAATAGTAGGCTACTTTCCTTGCAACTTCATTATTTTGACATGAGATCGGTTTTTTTTTCTCAAAACAGTTTTAAACACATTTTACACAACGTAAAACAACTAAATTGCTTCCCACACAGACATTTATTTTCATTATAGGTAGAAATGCTATAATGTCAACATATTTGACTTTGAAGCCCCACAATTATATATATATATAAACAAACAAGAACTGAATAAATCTCTTCTATGAAGAACATGCATTCATTATCTAAATGTTTATATTTAAAAATATATATAATATATATATATTTTTTCTTTTTTTTTCTTTAAAAAAAATTGATATATATAAAATATCAAAATTTAGATAATCAATGTAAAGTTGATTTGCAACGATTTGTCTCGTGAAAAGTGCTATACAAATAAACTTGAATTGAATTGAATTGAATGCATGTTCTTCATAGAAGAGATTTATTCAGTTCTTGTGGGTTTTTATTGACATATCAGATCCAAACAAAAGTCACTTCACTGACCCAGAACCATTGTCTAAAATAAAAGATGAATGTAAAAACTCTGATTCCAATACATTAACATTTTCCTTTTGGCAAAATAAAAAGAGAGTTTTTTTTCTGCACAGACTGCTTTACAGATAATCTGAATTTTGACAAAAATATTGAAAATTAATGCCAGTGGTGAATGAAAATGAAATAAAACTTTCTGACTTGTTTTTTCCAGCAGATAAACCCAAGGTATACCAGGGTGTGCGTGTGAAGACCACTGTTAAGGAGTTACTGCAGAAGCACAGAGCCCTGCAGGCACAGACAACCGCAACGGTAAACAATGGTGTTGGATAGGCTACCAATAAAACTCATAAATCAGACACTACTGACGTACAAGTTCATGGTGGCCAAACTAAAACGAAGCCTGGTCAGTGTAATATCAAATTTAAAGCACCACGCCCCCCCCCTCCCCCCAGGCCTATATGTGCTCGAGGTTTCAGTTGATACCACATAATTGTACAAACTAACGGCAGATTTCTGCTGTTTTTCAACTGAACGAAAGCAATAATTAATATTTTCCCTTGCCTCTTTCTCTCTTTTACAATTGTAATCCTATAGAAATCACAAGCCATGGCTGCTCACGATGTCTGCTCTACGACCATGAATAGTAAGTTAAAAAATGCTAAAAAATTAACTGGACGGCGATAACTGATAGTAATCTCAATCCCTTGTCCCATGCAGTCGAGACATTTCACAAAACAGTTTACAAAGCATCAGATTTCAGTAAACTTACAAGCACCTTTTGTGGATATTGAAGAAACCTTCTGCCTGCTAACATGTAAGAGCTTGAATTTTAATCAGGAAACCTGAGACAAAGACAAAAAGTATACTGACTGCATGCAACTTACTATATTCCAAAATAGAAACCCTTTTCATCCACCGTCAGGCATCAGCTCTACATTTACAATCTTACAGGGAAAAAAAGAAATAAAACAACAATGACACCTACATCTATGTGTTCCTTACAGATCCGTGAATGATCTCCTTTTTATAAACTACTATTCAAATGTGATTTAGCTGTTTGGCTGATGGTCTCGTGACATCATCTCAAGTCTTGCTGGCCTAATTTAAATGTTCTCCTGTGCTCAAACCAGCATTTTCTTCTGTCTTACCCACAGCCCACCTTGATGTCTTTGGAATGCAAGCTCCAGAGCCCTATTTCCAGACACGTCCCTTTACCGAAAATGTCAATATCCCGATGGAGAATGCTTATGATCATCAACAGATGATGCACTTGATGCCACCTGAGACTTTCAGCGGCAGTAATTTCGTGTATCCCACTTCTTCGCAGTGGTCTAATGGATATATACCTTCTAATACGGACCTCTATGGTACTAGCCTGGTATGTGTTTGGTGCTTTAATTTTTTTTAGTAAACCTTTTTTTTTTTTTTTGGCATTTGGACGGTTCTGATGCTCAAGTATGTTTTCACTAAAAATAAAATCACGCGTGCAGAATATTTAATAATTAATTTTTCCTCAGGTATCGAGATCACCCTCAGACTCATTCAATCTCCCAAGTCCAGTCGACTACAACAGTTACTCTCCCCCTCAGTCCAAATCTTCATCTTCTTCGTGCTACAGCTCTCCAGCGCGGATGGATTTGAGCTCCAGTTTCTCTCCAGAAAATTACCACTATCAGCATTGCAACCTACAGCATTGCTTTTGTCTGTCGCATTGGTCCAATGTGCAGGAAGGCATGGCAACCTCGGAGTTTGCGCCCTACGGCTCATCAGACTGTTTGTATTCATATGGCGACGACAGTAATTTCAGAAGGGATACTTCAAACTCAGAGATGTGTTACTTAAAAAATGCATTTTGAAGCACTTTGCGCGAATATTCAGTGTCATAATTGATTCATTTGAATGCATGTGTTGTATTTTAGTTTAGATAAAAGAACAAGCAGTGATAGAATGAATGATTTACAAATAATTCATTTATCTTTTCTACAATAAACATATTTTTTTCGTAATTATACTGGCATTGGGGAAATATTTCAGATTTACAGCGTGCAGTTTCTGTTTAGCTCTTGAAATGTACATCGGAGCTTCTATAGTTTTTTTTAACGTACAAATAGAGCTGTGGCACTGAGGGCTCATTTATTGTTTTGCATATCAACATTCGACATTATGAAAAATACCAGAAGAAAGCTTTACAATTTGTTACTTATGAAAACGGATTTTGTCCTGTAACTAGCTGTTAACATTTTTCTTTGCGCCTAACAAATACACTGTTAATGTCAACTCACACTGAAAACACAAGTTTAATTGCTGCCTTCATCATTTTAAAGTAAAAACAAAGCATGCATTGCACTTTTTCAATACTTTACTGAGTAAATATAAAGCTCCTAAAATTAGCTATAAATTGCAGAAATTATTGAGACAAGTTCATTTATAGAAGACGTTTCTTATCTATAAGAATATAGACGATTTATGATTTATCTATAAACTGGTTGTCACAGCACAAACTGATCGTGGAACAATGAGTCATTATCACTCACTTTCACCAAAAGATAAAATGGAAAGAAAGTCGCAGCCCCGTTAACTGAGGGTCAGAAGAAGCTAAAAGACAATAGGAATCCCACAAATTGCATTTAATGTAGATATATATCAAGAGGTTAACAATTATACATGTGAAATGGTAAACTGGTCAGGGACAATCGTATAATCTCATATAAAATACGATTTCTAAACGATAAGCAGTTTATAAATTCACTTTAAGCTTGTCCTAAGTTTTCCGAAATTAAATAGAAAATAGAAATCAATTAATGCTTGGACATCTGTTTTTAAACATGCCGAGACATGTTTTTTTATATTAAATGTCCCGTGTCTTTAACTTTGGAACTTGGCACGCTAATCACTAAACGGTCACGCAATGGTATATTCATTAACTAGAGAAATCGGGAATGTTTTGTAGTCAAACAGAAGGGTGTGTACAGTGATCCAGAATTGGCAGACGCACACGCTTTGTGCCTGATGCTCACCAACTTGGAATTCCCCTCGGGAAAGCAAAAGACAAGGAAGTCTTCCTCTATCTACACGTTGGCTTCTTGTTTCCTTGAACGGTTTCCCTCCCACTTCTGCACAACGCGAGGTCTGACAGCGATACTGATTCCAGCCCACACTTCTCTCATGTTTTTTTCTTCTTCTGAAAAAACTAAGTAATTGTAATTCTTCTCATAGAGTGCAGTCCAGCAATAGATTTTCCAACAGACTGTATAAGCACGCCACTGGGAACCACAATGGAAAGGCCTGGGGGACACGGGTGGACTGAGTCCGGGGAGCTCCAGTTCAAACTGGTTACGTTTTTGTAGGGAAATGAAAAGGATTTATGACTTTTTCACCTCAGTATAGTCTAAATGAGCTGTGAAAAAATCCCCACCCAAATGTAGCGGAATCTTGTGCGTCAGTGGTTGCGCAATGCTCGTCTCTGTGAATAGCCGCAACACGTACCCGATGCGCGTCCTTGCGAGATCTTTCAGTAAGTTGTCAGCTCAGTTAACAGGTGATGAATTAAGAATATTAAGAGTATTTTAAGAGTCATTTATACTGTATAAGAAAAGCAGTACGTTTGATTTCACTGGCATCATTGCTCGGTGTTTGCATATCTGATAGTGGATGATCTACATTTGTCAAATACATGTTTTGGACGGTTTCATGTAGCAACAAAATCACTTTGCATTCAATATTTTATGTGTTGCTTAATACAGCACTTGAATGAACAAGAATAAAGTTAAACATATAAATGGCTATACTATTTAAATAGCAAAGTGGGGGTCTATATATTTTTTTATCAGTTTTATTTTCATAAACATGAGACAATATAACACTAGGGTTACATGAAAAGGGTCTGTTATAAAAACAAACAAATAAAACACATATTTGTGAGCATTAGCGGATCTTAAGGTGAATAAATCACAGTTTTCATCTGTGAATCCTGCTAATCAGGAAACAGCTGTGTCCTCATCAGGGGTGCAACTCTGGTCTGACTGGTGGGGGGTGGGGGACGGGGCAAAACTGAGTTTTGGGTAATAGTCCATTTTCATTTCAGTTACAACATACCATTTTAATATGCAATTCATTATCAAAATTAAAACAACACACAAAACACAGGAATTATGAACAGTTTTTAATGACTCATGTAACCTTGCATTTTAATAAATAATACATAAAGACAAGTAAACAGCCAGTAATACATTTACAAATTATAGCAATAGCACAAAGATACAAATGAAACAATGTGCTTTAAGTTTTTCAGCTGTTCAGGAATTAAATACTATATATGTCACCAGTTCACCAGCTCCTTTCACCATGCCTATCACCCTCAGCACTACACTTCCCATGATCTCCTCTGTCTACCACCTACACTTACTCCCCAAACCACCTACACCTGCACCCGCTCATCAGGACACATACTTAAGCAGTTCGCGCACACATCTCAGGCTATGCACTGAGCTCAGCACTCATTAAGATAATAAATGATATTCGCTTAAATTCTGAATCTGGCAAAATATCAGTGCTGGTACTACTAGATCTCAGTGCTGTGTTTGATACTGTCGATCATAACATACTACTAGAGAGACTGGAAAACTTGGTTGGGCTTTCTGGCATGGTAATTAAATGGTTCAGGTCATACTTAGAAGGGAGAGGTTATTATGTGAGTATAGGAGAGCATAAGTCTAAGTGGACGTCCATGACATGCGGAGTCCCACAAGGCTCAATTCTTGCACTGCTCTTGTTTAGCCTGTATATGCTCCCACTAAGTCAAATAATGAGAAAGAACCAAATCGCCTATCACAGCTATGCAGATGATACCCAGATTTACCTAGCCTTATCTCCAAATGACTACAGCCCCATTGACTCCCTCTGCCAATGCATTGATGAAATTAACAGTTGGATGTGCGAGAACTTTCTTCAGTTAAACAAAGAAAAAACCGAAGTCATTGCATTTGGAAACAAAGATGAAGTTCTCTAGGGGTCTAACAACTAAAAATCAAGTCAGTGTTCTTGGTGTGATTCTGGAGACAGACCTTAGTTTCAGTAGTCATGTCAAAGCTGTAACTAAATCAGCATACTATCATCTCAAAAACATTACAAGAATTAGACATCTGTTTAGCTGTGCATTTATTGAATGAGCACTGTGCGATGTCCGAACTGATTGCACTATATTATATGTATAATCGTCTTTTTAAATTCATTTTAAACCTCTTAAATCAATTTGTTTTAAATAATTTTCAAAGTTTTTAAATTCCTTGTTTTATTGTTGTGATTATTGTTTTTATTTTATTTTATGTAAAGCACTTTGAATTACCATTGTGTATGAAATGTGCTATACAAATAAACTTGCCTTTTGTTGCTGTTACATGACAACTTTGTCTGACTAGGGGTGAGACGTGGGCTGATGATGTCATCGTTTCAGAAAATATACAGATTCGCTGTACACATGAATACGCAAGGGTGGCGTTTAAAGATTTATCCACTCTAGGACGCAGTTTCAAACAATATAGTTTTCACTCTCCCAAAATGCCGGATCCATCTGGTCGAAACGCCTATACAATACAAAATGTATGCGTATACAGCTAAACGGGTCTCCGTGTGGAAGGGGCCTCAGTGTCTGGTCTCGTTGATCTCTACGAAGAAACTTACCTGGCTACTCACCTGGTTAATGTCCTGCGTCCGTTCCTTAATACCACAATCCAGATCTGCAGATCAGCATCCACCTGCAACAAACAAGAAAACTGTTACCAGCAAGTTAAGTCCATTGAATTCAACTCTGTTTCTGATGCTCATCCTTATGCATCTCAGCTGTTCTACAAACTTGTGAATAAACATCTTGAGATTGAGTTTACCTCTGAGTCTTGTCTGTCTGTTGTGCTGACAGAAGACCAGACCTAAGATGAAGATAGCATCCATTAATGTGTGCCCCATGAAGGAGGATGAACTCTCTGGAGTAGGTACTGTTTTTATCTTCCAGGGTGGCAGGTGTCTAGAGGACTATGTGGAGGAGTTTATAGACACCTGCCACCAAGCCACTTGCAGTGACCTCAGTTTGATGGAGGGATTCCAGTTTGGGTAGGATGAGGAGATCCAATTTGTGATGCTGCAAGGAGATCCCATCTGGTCATTAGCAGTATACTTGAACTTTGCATTATGTATTGCAGGATCCTCATTCAAAGTTGGCGTAATGGAGGCCACTCCAGACAATGAAATCCCCAAGTTCAGCCGTGAAATGACTCCAGTCCCCGAGTTCAGCCCAGAGTTGATTCCAGCTCCAGATTCTGCTCCAGAGTATGAAAGCCCAGAATCTGCTCCAGTTTTCATCACAGAACCCGCTCCTGAGACAATGCCCCCCATAACCTCTGTCAAGAAGAGGAGGCAGAGAAATAATAAGCATTCAGTGTCGGCTCCAGCCCCTGAGTCCGCTCCAGTGTCTGTCTAGAGTTCTGTCTAGAGATTGGCTCTAAAATCAGCCCAGAAATGGCTCCAGCAACCAAACACAGCCCAGTGAGAGCTTCAACACCCTAGTTCAGCCCAGAAAAAACCCCAGTCCTTGAATTTAGCCTAAAATGACTCCACAGCCCGAGTTCAGTCCAGAGATGGATCTAGCCTGGTTAGGGCTCCAGTCCCAGACTTTAGTCCCGAGCCTGATCCAGCATCTGACCACAGCCCAGTATCTGTTCCAGCCCCAGGTCACAATCCTAAGCCTATTCCAGTCCCTGATCATAGCCCAGTGTCTGTAATTCCAGACCCTTGAACACAGACCTGTGTTTATTTTAGCCACTGATCGCAGCCCAATGTCTGTTTCAAGCCCTGATCTCAGTCTAGTGTCTGCTTTAGCCCCTGAACAAAGCTCAGTGTTTGCTCCAGCCCGTGACAGTAGTCTAGTGATGGCTCCAGCTCCTGAGCACAGTACGGAGATGGCTCCAGTCCCTGAGTTCAGCTTAGTCCTAGAGTTCACTCCAGCCCCAGTATT